TGCTTTTAATGGCAGATAATACAAAGGCCAGAACACACCAGCTAAAGTTCATAAAAACTGCAGTAAATGTTTGCAGAAATTTGCTGGCTCCTAAAAACTCACAGTGCTGTATCAGTAAACACTTGTACAGCCAGTGATGATCGTCTTTTTCCATTTTTCTGCTCTTACGATTTTACGAAATTACCATTGTGGAAATTGTTGGTATCCAAGTCAGTGTGGTAGGAAAGATCACAACAGGAACGTAGTTTACTTATGCTAGTTTGAATTTTTTGTAATGAAGCATTATAGTTTTGTTACTTAAAAAAAAATAAATTTGAAAAAAGTAACACACATTTATCTAAATAAGAATTTATATCAACACAATGGTAAAAACACATTGTGGTTGTTGGCAGTGACACTGATTGTGATTGGTTGATGGGGCTGGTGTCCTAAAATGTACACGAGTGCTCTGATTGATAATAAAGTATTAAAGAAATATGCTAAATTATTAACAGTAGTGCACAGACCTGGGTTGTTAAACTACCATCTGTAGCAAATGCATTTTTCATTATTGGATCAGTGGTTACCACCTGCATTTGTGACTTTCTGATAGATCTCCAGCTGGTTACGTAGGAGGTCCGTGCTTGTGTTCACAACTTTGCAAGATGCTGTGATGGCTGATTCACACCTATGTCTGATTCGGGGACATGGAGTGTCTATTTCATTTCATTTCAGAGTGCAAACAGTTTTATACTGGGCATAAACTGCTTTTGATTAGATCTTTATGTAAGGTCTGGAATTCAGAGTACTTGTGACAAGTATTAATCTTGTTTGTCTGAATGCTCCAGAGCTTCAGGGGGTGCTATTCTACAGCAAATCGCTTTTCTGACCGCTGTGCAATAAGTATGTCAGTTTTTTGTTATAATACGAGAGCTTCTCCTAACATACAACCACAATTCCTAAGTAGTTGGGACACTGTAAAATGCCAATGTCTCATAAATCCATATTTGATTCATAATTGAACATAGAAAACACATCCAGTGTTTAAACTGAGAAAATGTACCTTTTTAAGCAATATATACGGTAAGCGAATTTTATATATTTTATATATAGCAACACATCTCAAAGGAGCAGAGACAGGGTTACATATAAAGTTTAGCATTGTTTTGCTGAAATATGCAAGGCCAACCTTGAAAAAGATGTCATCTGGATGCTCTAAAACCCATATGTGCCTTTCAGTGTTGATGGTGTCTTTCCAAGGCCTATTTCAAGTTCCAGTCACTCGTGCACTCCCATACTGTCAAAAAGGATTTCAAATTTCGATTTGTCTGATTTGTCTGTCTTTTAAATGAGCTTTGGCTGAGAGAAAACTGCAAGGTTTCTTGATCAAAGTCACATATGGCTGCTTCTCTGTATGATGGAGTTTTCCATGACAGAATCATGTCTGTTTTTAATGCATTGCTGACTGAGTGAAGATCACCACATCCAATATGGATTTTAAGCTTTGTCCCTTTGTCTCCAAATTCTGTGAATCCTTTCATTATTATGTACTGCAGATAAAGAGTTGTTACACATTTTTTTAGATGCCATTTTTTGTGGATTGGTGAACCTCTGTCTACTTCTGAGAAATTCTGTCACTCTAAGATGCTCTTTTTTTGCCCAATCATCTGTTGCCAATTAACTGGATAAGTTGCTAATTGCTTCTCCGGCTGTTCTTTTAATGGGGCATTCGTGTATAAGCCAGAATTCAGGATTTTTGAGTTCCCATATGGAATTTGATGTGGAATGCCCACTCAGCTTTTATCTCTCATTAGGAAAGTCGGCAGAGCCCACCAACCCTGAGATTTGTACTCCAAGATGGAGTTGAACGTAAACAGTAGTAAAACTTTTTTTTTTCTTTTTTGTTTTTACATTATTTTGGAATTGGGTTTGTACTTTAAAATTATTAGCAAACATAAATCTTTAATGTTTGTGTGACTTTTTTTTTTCAGTCCAAGAGCTCAGTTGCAGATCTGCTCCTTTTGCTCTGTCAACAGATAAAAATAGTCTTGTACATTGTTCTTCACACAGAAGGTCAAACAACACATGTACACAAATACAAGTAATGAGTGAGAGCTCGGGATGTTGGCAGCTAATTTGCTAAATAACAGGAAAAACTGGTCTAGTCAAAACGACAGGAAAATCCTCGGAAAACATTAAGAAGTGAACAGAATTTAAATGGAGAACTTTTAGCATTTTTCCTAGAAATTATTTTGTCTATGAAAACAATAATTTTCCCTGTTAATAAAATCATGTTTTAATCCTCACTAAAAGTGTGACACATCTTAAACCATTGCAAACACACACTGAGTGAGATTGTTTTGGCTCTGTGAGTTCAGCAGTGCTAGCAGCAGTGACCTTCTTTTCTGGGAGCTTCCACATGAAGAATGTGGTCACACCTGGCCTCGGCTGCTTGGCTCTAATCCAGTTTATTCCGGCGAAGCTGATATACAACTGCTTTGTTTTATTTTTTGTTTGTTTGTTTTTTAAAACATCAAAATACTGCAAAACAGCCTTGTTACCATGGTTGTTACTTGCTTTAATCTGTTCAACTGCCATCGAAAGTGTGGTGAACTGGAAGTGGTCAGTGTCCCTGTATCCCAGCTCAACCAGTAACTGCTATTGTACATGAATAAAATAAGAAAAACAGGCTTAACTGACTCGTAATTCTGGTACTGACTAGATCAGGGGTGGGCAATCTCAGTCCACGAGAGCCGGTGTCCCTGCAGGTTTTAGATGTGTCCTTGAACCAACACAGCTGATTTAAATGGCTAAATTAGCTCCTCAACATGTCCTGAAGTTCTCCAGAGGCCTGGTAACGAACTAATCATGTGATTCAGGTGTGTTGACCCAAGGTGAGATCTAAAACCTGCAGGGACACCGGCCCTCATGGACTGAGATTGCCCACCCCTGGACTAGATAGTGCAGCAGCGTTTAAACACGTAGTCCATTAATCGCGTACATCTCTACTCATAACTGAAGGAGTGTAAACTGTTTTGATTATTATCTGTCTGCCAGTTTGTGGCTTGTATCCACTTCCAGGTGATAAGGGCATTTCCACAGCATTTTCCTTTTGCTCTGTTGTTTTTGCAGCCAGAGAAGTCATTACCAGGGAGCTGCCTGTATGACCTTGTTGCTGTCGTGGTGCATCATGGATCTGGGTGAGTAGTTTAACATTGTTGAGTCTGGCTTTCCTGATTTGTTAGATGGCGTAAAATGCGGTAATTACACAGCTTTCTTAGTCAAGAAGCATCCATGTTTAGAGGTCATGAATCAAAGCTATAATTAATGACTGATTTAACTTGATGACTAATTATTTCCTCTGGATAAAAGGGCCAGCTTGATCCATGTTTTGTTTTTTTGGTTTTTTTTGTACAAGTGTATTTTTTGTGTTGTAGAAGAATAAGGAACTAAATCCTAACATGCATTCAAGACTGGGCTATGGATCTGTGCATTATTATCTGCCAGCTTTGAGTTACTGTATAGCCGGATCACATCCGCTTTGTGAAAGCTGCAGTTTAAAAATTTATGTAGCTGCTAAAAGGCATTAGGCTGCAAGTCCTTGAAAACACATTTAGATTCAAACAGAATCAAGGTGCCTTTTTCTTTGGCCTCTAGGTGGCAGTGTTGCACTGCTGATATATTGTCGAGCTGAATTCTCCCCTCTTGCTTCAGCAACCATAGATGAAGTCTCACATGAAAGCAGGCAGCAGAATATGACGTGTGTTTGTGTTCACAGGGTTGGGTCGGGGCATTATACAGCGTACGGCAGCCATGAGGGTCACTGGTACCACTTCAACGACAGCACAGTGACTCTGACCAATGAGGATACAGTGAGGAAGGCCAAAGCCTACATCCTCTTCTACGTAGAGAGGACTGGTCAGGTGCCCTCTGACACAAGCGCATCAAACAGCACAGCCACGAATAAGCCTGCCGTGGACGCTGCAGCTGTGGACAGTGTTTCTCCAGAAATAGTTTCTCAGGACACAGTCGTAGCTGATACGGTAGCTACAGATCTGGATTTTGCGGACGCAGCATCGTCACACGAGGACGTCGCGGGCGAGAAAGAGGAGGTAGATGTGAACAAAGACATGGCTACACTGGCTGAGGGTGACACAGTATCAGTGAAAGCTGCAGCAGATGCAGATACCTCAGACAAGGCTGCAACAGAAGAATCTCACCAAGCTCTACAAACTGTTGCACAATAAACAATTCTTTGAGATTTCACTGCCTCAGACCAGCTCGTGACTTTTGTTTCGACTTCACCTCAATCACATTTGTCACCGTGCTTGATTATAATTTTCACATAACATTCACATTTTCACTCTTGTGTTATGATTTGTTTGAAAGCGTCATGTTTTAACTTGCTGCTTAATTTGTTTAGTAGACTTTTTGCATGTTTTCTCTCGATGATGTGCCCTCATACCGAGGTAGACTTCTCCATATCCAATAGATTCCAAAGGTGATCGTTTAAAGTTTAACGTATTGAAGCTTTAGCCTTGGAAAACCTCAGTTGGTCCAATGTTTAGCCTAGACTGAAGAGATTCATTGTCAAGAACACTGTGTAATATTTGGCATTTCTATTGTTTTTAAAGTTTCACATGTCATATTTTTCACCTTAAGAGCCCAGTAGTTCTGTTTTCCAGTCATTAGAGGATATTTTAAGATTTAGAATGCAATGCATTTGACTGACTGGTGCTCATTAGGGCTTTAGAAAGTTGTTTTAACTTCTTGACCAGAACCAATGTAAAAAGAAGGTATCATTCTCAAAAAGTTTGCCTGTACTGATGCTGGAGTATCATGTAACATTTTATGTTGATTTGAAATGGCCATACACGGGGACCTGAAGTGAAATTCTCTTCAAATGTGTACCAGGCAACACGAACATGACAGAATACAATGGAGAACATTTTATTAAGATGTTTGTGTCGGGCTGTTTTTATCATCGACGGCAACCGGCCGACCCGCTGCAGTAAAAGGCAAACAAGACGCCACGGTTCACGTTAGGTGGTGGTTGCTGCACTGTCACAAGGAAAGATGGGTAAGACCAAAACTAATAAAGTGAAGTTCCAAGTTAAGATTTTGCAGGAGTGAATATTGAAGAAAAACATGTATAGAAATCTGTTCATTAGTCAGGAGTAGGGATATTAACCTAGCGAGCAGCTCTGGAGGAATTAAAGAACTGCATCACTAATGTTTCTACACTAGCCTCTATTTTTAAGCTTATACTGCGAATCTATTTTCTAAACAGGTTCATGTACTTTATGCAAATTAAACATCATCAAACTATTTGACGCGCATGTTAGGAACAGTTTTTTCCTTTTGTGTGTGTTTACAGTAGACACATGCATACTAAAATATATTTCATGTGTATTTCCAGTATACAACTGTCTCAACACCCTTATTATGCCTTGTAATGATTAACTGGCTTTGATATGACCCAAGTAGGACTTCTAAAATGAGAGCCTTTAAGTTGTCTTCCCCACACAAACACACACACACTCGCAGAGTCACCCTCCCCCCGGCACACGTGCCACCCAGTGAGCCGTCTCACTCTGGCAGGAACAGGCACTCCTGTATGCTGAGGAGCAGCTGCTCTTTATCGCCTGCACACAGGTGGCTGCGGTTTGTTATTCTGTCCCCATCAGTGATACAAGTGCCCCCCTTGTTTTGTTGTTTCAGATTTTTTGATTATATCCCAAATGTGGAAAAAACAACGTTGGAGATCTTGTAAGGGGCGTCGTGACACGGTGACGCAGAGTACAGAATGTGATCCGCCTTCCAGCAGTGGAATTTCCCAGTGTCCTGCTTTTTTGTAGAGATCGCCGATAAAGAGTGACGTAGAAAAAGCTGGCAAGGAAGTGTGGAGTGATGACATGGGCTGAATGGTATTTTGCATTTTGCCAACTCTGTACGTCCTCTGCGAGCCAACTGAACAAACACACTCTGAGTTGTAGTACTGTCTGTTCCTTGAGGCAAAGTCCTGCGTACGGCTTGTGACTTTCACTCACATGAAGCGTTTTCCACGTTATGTGGCTCTCTGATGGTCTCGATCACAATGCAGGGAATGCAGATCCCTTTGAGTACATTAAATACAGACTTTTTTTAAACATTGGTACATTTCGCAAAGAATCATTTAATGTAAAAATTTGACACTGATAAATCATCCCATTATTTTTCACTACCTCTGTTTTTAAAAGTATCACAGAATTTTTTCATAATTCTTGAGGTGTTTTAGGTTTGTTTTTTTCCCTCCAACTTGACTCCTAACCGTAGTTGTTGCACGGGTGTTTCTGCACTACCCAGTGAAGGTGTTTCTCTTTTTTTATGTCTCTTAGTGTGTATCTGAGAACTAGGCCAGGACAGTGTAAACATCTGGCTGAATCCAGCACTTGCTGCCTGTTGAGAGCCATGACAGATGGAAAGGGAGCGTATGGCTCAAACACTTCCATCTTTGACTGCACAGCAGTTGTCTTCCCAAAATAGCCCGTGCTCTACGGCCTTATATGTGCAGGCCTGTGTGGTGTGCCTGAGGGGGCATCATGTATCTAGGCCACACAATACGGGCTGTGGGCTCATTGTTGCTGCTTACCAGCAGGCCTATCACTGCCCCAGGGACGAAGCCTATCTCTATGTCTCAGGACAACACACCATGCATCTCATTCAGCTCAACCGTGAGTGTCTCCTTCACCTTTTCTCCTTCCTGGACAAGGACAGCCGGAGGAGTTTGTCCCTCACCTGTCATCAGCTGCGTGAGGTCTTCCTGGACCCCTGTCTCTGGAATCTACTCCACTTCAGCTCCCCTTGTCAGCTCAGGAAGGACAACTTTGTGCTGGGACCCTCGTTGCGTTACTTAACTATTAGTTGGTACTCCAGCATGGTCCTGCAAGTGTGCAACATCGAGGACTGGTTGAAGAGCTCGTTTCAGAAGAACATCTGCAGTAAACACGAAAGCCTGGTCAGCACGTTCCTGGCCCATGTCTGCTATATGTGAGTGTTTGTGTGTGGCTCTACCCTGCTGTGTTGTGTGATCAGAATGACAGCTGACAAAAGCTGAGAGAGGACACTGTAATATCCTGTAATAATACCTCAAGCACTGACTTTTAAACACCTTAAAAGTAGAGTAGAATTAACATGACATTGGCACAGCTTGTGTTCATCTTGACACTGGCACGAGAACAAATTGCGTCTCTCTTTATGTGTCTTGAGGATGCTCACACAATTTGGGGGAGGGGATGTTGCTTTCAGGGTCATTTACACCCACATTAGGGAACCAAATGGTTTTCATTTAAAGGCACGTCGCTCAGTCTAACTGCCATGTTTAGCTGCAGGCAGCATGGAACATGATCATTAGAAACAGATGGCATATCCACAACTGGCTGTGGAGACAGAAAAATGACACATCTGTGGGACACAAGACTGATTCTATTAACTAACATAACTGTGGTCACATATCAAAATATATTTAATGAATGACGTGACAGTTGGACTTGATAGGTCGCTGAAAAGTAGCCGTTTTGGCTTTTGGCCTTGTGTGCGTGGCCGGGTCCAGGCAGGAATCGTCCCGGAGAGGCGTAATGAGGTCTCTGGATAATTTCTTCAAGGCAGCCAGTAATAACAGTCGATGTGAGGGAGCTTGGCCACCACAGCTGGCCGGGACAAGAGGAAGGGAAAGGGGGAAAGGGGCAGTCTCAGTGGCGTGTGTACAACCCTGTGAGGACTTCCTGTATTGTGAAATTTGAGATTTGTGATGTGAGAGCTGTGAGATGAGTCAGAGTTTAGAACCACCCACTTCGTCTGAGGCTTGCATCTCTGTGTCCTTAAGGCACACTCTCTGCATACTGATAAACCCTCCCAAATTGTCAGAAGAAAGGAAGCGCACGTGACAAAGTGGGAGGGAACACAGAGGCTGTGGGGGTGATAAAGAGTGACTTGGCTCCAGACCCTCCCAGTCAGCTGCATAGTGGAGATTTATGCAGGCAGGTGGAGCCTACAATTGGCTCTTTGTTGCCGTCAGAGGAATGAACATGTGCTCTGTCTGTGCCTGCCTCTTCCTGGATAAGACTCCACGCAAACTCTGACGCCAACCTCGTGTCTATAGTCTCTTTTTTTATCTACATGGAAAAAACTATAAAACATAGCATGTCTTTGGGCCTCTTTTGCAGTGTACTTTCAGTGTAATACTCTGCAGAGCCAGAAAACTACAGTAAATCAATTTTCTTAAGGTCACAGTATTAGAATTATACAAGATTAATTAACATGCCTGATTTGCAGTATAGTGTGGGCTGCGCAGTGGGTGGCACAAGAAGCTTTGGCATGAGACTGGTTAAACATTTCTGAGTAGTTTTACTCCGATCTTTACTGTGCACCATTTGGATAAACTGATGCTTTCTCTTATATAACGAGAGCATGCGTGACTTTTGCTTATGAAGTGCTTAAGAGATTTATCTGACAGCTGCTTTGGAAAATATTTACAACTAAATCTAGAAAATAGAAGGTTCCAGCAATGTTTTAGGCTTTTTTTTGACGCAAACCTTTCCCCTCAAACGACTGAAGGACACGAACAGTAAATGTACACTACGTCTCAGTTCCTTTTAGAGCTCACTGGATAATTTGACCAGACAAATTAACCGTTAGGAAACCAAACGGCTCATTACAGGCATGATTACAGGTTGGTGGTGTGGTGTTCTGCTTGTGCTCAACATAGACCAGTCTGCTCTTGCTGCTGTTTCTTTCAATGGGAACTACATCATGTCTCAAACATAAATTAAAGGCATAAAAAAAAATTCTGAACATTTTAGGCACACACTGCTAGGTGGAAGCACTTATATTTGCCCTCGCTACTTTGAAAAGATCAAGGTTTTTGCTTTTCTTTCATTTTTATTCAGCTGCTACGTTCCTACAGTTGGCGAACATATGAAATATTATAGGAATGAATTTGAAAACTAGCTTACAGACGGAACAAACAAAGAAACCCATTAAAAAGAAATTATTTTCCACTTAAAAAAACAAGGTGCTATGAGGCGGTGCTTTAATGCGCCAACAACTAAATGCCTGTATGTATGTAAGTGCACATATTCTATGTGTGTGTGCAAGACAGATTCAGATAAGTGGGTATGTACATATTGGAACAGCACACAAAAGAGTCTGCGCACAGTGGAAGTTCCATGAGAGGGCGGATTATGTAATGGGTTTAAAAAAATACTACTCCTCTTATCTCTTGCTTCTATCCACTTC